GCTCAGAAACTGGATAATAAGTAAAGTCACTGAGCTCAATCTCAAGAGTTCTCCTCTAAAGGGATGTGTTCCCCCCTCCCCCCAAAAGCAGCTTGTCCCCTTGCATGAGCAAAATTTAGAGAGACCCCTGCAATATGTTTTAAATCTGCATGGAACGTAGCACCAGATGGGTTCATTGGGTCATAGATGGAGGCAGGATTTTAAACAGTGTCGGGTCACTCATTACAATCTCTAATGATATCAGTAGTTGCATGTGATGGGCTGAGGGTCATCACAGGGCATGGGCGCATCACTCAAAGGCAGCAGGGGAACTTTCCCTCCCACAACCATCCACCTTTTTGCATCATTAGTGAGATGCAGGCAAGGTCAATGGAAGTCAAAATCCATCATTTTCCCAATGATGGTTTAGCATGAAAAGGTATTGAGCACAGCAATGGGAAGGTTAGCAATGTGCTTAGCTGTTTATATCAGGAATGGGTAATTACTAGAGCTGACACTGAATTTTACCTAAAGCAAAAACCAAGGAGAATTCAGAGGTTACTGCTCAGGCAAAATTATTGATTCCTTTCCTAATAAGAACATAAGAAGAGACTTGCTGAATCTGACCAGTGGCCCATCTGGTCCAGCATCCTGTTCTCAAAGTAGCCAACTGGATGCCTGTAGGAAGCCTGCAAGCAGCACTCTCATCTCCTGTGGTTTCAGCAACTGGTTTTCAGAAGCATTACTTCTTCTGACCATGGAGACAGAGAATAGCCAAAATATCTGATAACGTTTGAGGGAAAATCGAAAGCACTGTGATAACACCCGGGAAACCTCTCAGATATGTTTAGGTTTCCATGGATTTTCACCCCATATAAAATGCAAGGTGAATTTCAAAGGGTATCTTCTGCAAAACTGAAGGGAAACCTAGTGAGTCTCAACAGAAGGTTCACAAAGGGGTGAGATTTTGCTATTTTCTACAAAATACTGAGACCTGGAGAATGGAGAACCCAATGGGGAAAAGTGGGGGTGGACCTTTATTTTGAGTGGGTTTTTTGGCCAGCTACAAGCAGGATTTGGAACAGTGCTTTTCATCTGGTCAGCATCCCGGAAGCATTCAGGCAACATAATATTGGGCAGAGTCCAAATGATCCATGCAGACTGTACCAAGATTGTATCCTCACATCATTTCTGCACAACTACAACTTACTCCGGTTCATGACCAGGATTTGGTTGCCACATGGTTGGCTGTCATCTAACTGGTTTCAAACCAATTTGTCAATGTTTCTGTTTTGGTTTAGCACCATTTACTACTTATTTACCACAAGAAGTTAGAATGTTTGAGGAACTGTGGTTTGGTTTGCACTTTAGTGTAAACCTAACAAATTTGCACTCCCTAACCTGATATGCAAGGGATGCGGGTGACGCTGTGGGTTAAACCACAGAGCCTAGGACTTGCCGATCAGAAGGTTGGCGGTTCGAATCCCCACGACGGGGTGAGCTCCCGTTGCTCAGTCCCAGCTCCTGCCAACCTAGTAGTTCGAAAGCACGACAAAAAGTGCAAGTAGATAAATAGGTACCGCTCCAGCGGGAAGGTAAACGGCGTTTCCGTGCGCTGCTCTGGTTCGCCAGAAGTGGCTTAGTCATGCTGGCCACATGACCCGGAAGCTGTATGCCAGCTCCGTTGGCCAATAAAGTGAGATGAGCGCCGCAACCCCAGAGTCGGCCATGACTGGACCTATTGGTCAGGGGTCCCTTTACCTTTACCTTTTTAACCTGATATACAAAGCAATATTTGGCTATCCTTCAAAATTCTCATCTTGGTTGGATAATTTTGCAATACAGTTCTCCAGCAAAGTTATGCATGAAATAATACACATACTGGGGAATTGCAGCTCCCACCCCTGAGTGGGTGAGAATTTGCCACATTCCAACTCCCCTGGGAAGAAGACTCAAAATGGGGGTCAGGTGGCCCATCAGGCCAATCAGCAGTGAGATTGTATAGAAAGAAATCACACTGAGGTACTGTGTAATAGAAAAGGCTACCCTTTTTTGACAAGTAAACTTAAGCAGAAAACAATCCAATTTAGATAGGACAGACCAAGGGGAGTTATTTTTACATTTAAGCCACAAAGAGTTTTCCTGGATTCAGTACAGAAAGCAAGAGACTCTACGGTGAAATTCTAATTGGAAATGGAAGAAATGCAAATGGATGAGACTGAAGAAACAAAATTGGGAGCTGTAGCTACGGGTTTGGCAAAATAATCTGCCTAGCTCTGGATTAACATAGAATACAAATGGAGCACATTCTCCTCAATAGGGGAAAAAAGATACTTCATTATTTGAAAAAACTGAAATTGGATCTAATTTTTTTACAAGCAACACATATTAGGAAAAAGAATATAAAAGTTTTGATTTAAAAAAATTAGGTGAGGAATTTATCTCTGCAGGACCTGAAGAAAAGAATGTAGTTGTTCTATACATGCATTCCTAATTGTGCCCAAAACTAATATTTTCTGATGAACAAGGTAGATATGTTGGGGTGAAAGTTAATATCCAAGGGAATAAAATTTGTTGGCATGTTTATATTGTTTACCAATAAATCTATATTGGTAAAAGAACGTACAAAAATGCATTATATTAGGGAATATTGTCACTATATGCATATAATACGCATATGGCAGAACTGTGTGCAAACATGCATAGGGGAAATATGCATAAAATTAACACTAAAAAACACACAATTGATATAAAAATGGGGCAAAGTGAACTTGGCAAAATCAGAAATCAAAATTAACAGAGTCATTCAGAGTCTTGGCAATATTGTGGCAACATGAGGGGCTTCAACAATTCAACAATTTTTTGCCCAGTTGTTGCAAAATCTCTTCCTGGAATAACTGCTGTCAGTCTGAGCACAGTCCCTGAAGCAATGACAGACAATGGATCTAGGCTTGGAATTCTCTCCAGAAAGTTTACAAAAGGCCTTCCGTCTGCCTTTTGCACCAGATTAGCCTGCATAAATTTCCCTTGTTGTTCCCTTGCCTGACTAGAAGTCCACCTTTTTCTCCCCTATAATGTGAAGTGAGCAGTGCATGTCCAGCAGGGTGTGATTAAGGCTGAGAGCTCGATTGCTGCAGTCCAGTCGCCTGTCCGCACTACTGTCAGCTCCTGTCAGCATCTCGGCACCCAGGTGTCTACAGGGCCCAGCAGAAAGCAGAGATGGGAAACAGGAATGGGGTTATTGACAGATCAAATCAGGACTGGTGCTGGAATTAAGTCTCTTATATGGGACTTGATCAAGTGCAAACTGCTTCCAGGGTCAAGTTTCCCACTTCATTCTCTGCCACCATCAAAAGTTATGGATGAGTCAATGCTGCCAACAAGGATAAATGAATTTCAAACTCAGCTCTTTGTCTGCCAAGTCCAAATGAGCTGTCCAAAGTGCTGATGAGGGGTTGCTCTGTGCATGGACCCCCAAATGGAGCTCTGTTGCTGCAGAAGCCATCTTGTAGAGCAGTGGTTCCCAAATGTTTTGGGGCCAGTGTCCCCTTGGTTCCATAAACGCCTGTTGACATTAGGGTGGCCATGTGTCCTCTAACTGAAGGAATCTTCACCTTGTCTGGTTGAAGTCTGGCTCAAAGATAAAGGGTCATTAGAACAGATAGGAGGGTGTTGTTATTTTATTCATTGCATTTATATCCCTTTTTCTCCAAGGAGCTCAAGGTGGTGTCAACATGGTTCCCCCTCCTCAATTAATACCCACAACAACCCTGTGAGGTAGGTTAGGCTAAGAGAAAGTGACTGGCCAAGGCCACACCATGAGCTTCATGGCTGAATGGGTCTCCTAGGTCTGAATTCAACTCTAACCACTACATCACACAGGCTCTCAAAATTGCTGCAGATCCTGGTGGACCACTTCACGATTCTCTCCCCCCCCCCCCATTGTAGCAATTTGCAATGTACTAAGCTGAATGCTGGATGCTTTTAAATTGTATTTAATTGCTTCTTCGCTTTCTTATATTGTATATTGTGTTTTGTTGCCTTACAATTTTAATTCCAATGGAGAGTCCATGGGCCACAGTCTGGGAACCCCTGGTTTAGAGGGAAGTGCAAATAGGTTGAGATGCCTTTTCCCACCTGCCTCTACTGTGCTTTCCAGCATTTCCCATTCCCGGCCTGCTATGATCTTAATTGGGATGTTCTGGTGGTACAACCAGTTTTCTTCTTTTAAACCAAGTTAATTGCCATGGCTGCCTCCAAGGAATCCTAGGATGAAGCCATGTGATGCACAGCTTGATCTTGTGGGGCTCTCAAATGATCTTGTGGGGCTTTCACAAGATTTCACTGTGCTCTTATGAGAACTTGCTGGAATCTAGAAGCCACAGCAGCCACTTCTCCTTGCTTTGGCAGCAGCAGCGTGGAACACCCACACAGGCAAAGGACAGCTCTGCATGCAGACAAGTGAGTAGTTTGGTAGAGGCTGCATGGAGCCCTCTACACTTCTCTGCATCCAGTATAGAAATTGAGCTTTCTGTTTTTCCTTTCTCAGCTCCTGGTATGCTAGTAATTTTTTGTTTTTGCAGCCTTGTAGCTTTTGCAGGCTTATTTATAAAGCTAACATAGATTTGCACAAGGTTATTAGTTTACACTCAGACTTATCTTCAATTCCTTCCCTAATAAATGCTTTGTATGGAATTGGCCTTTTTCACAGCTGGTGCACACAGTCGGTATTTTAAATGATCTATCCACCATGGCCCCATGCAATTTCTCCTGCCTCCTGTCTGAAATGGTACATTATCAGGAAGGTATCTACTGGTGTACATCAGAGTCATCTGCACTTGAGGTGCTCTCCCCTGTTTTCATCCGTGAAAGGCTCCTAGAACAGGGATGAGCTGCCTTGAGTCCCATCAGGGAAAATGGCGGGAACCAACCAAACAAACAAATGGGAACCCATGGTCCTCCAATGCCATGCTGGCAGCAGCTCTCCAGGGTTCTAGACAGGGAACATTATTAGGCCTACTTGTAAATGCCAGGGATTGAACCCGGGGCCTTCTGCATGCACAGCAGATGCTCAACCACTGAGCTACGGCTCTTCCTTAATCATTAGTGGATGGATAGCTCAGTTGGTTAGAGGATGGTGCTGATAATTTCAAAGTTGCAGGTTTGATCCTTGTTTGGGACAGCTGCATATTCCTGCATTGCAGGGACCCTTCCAACTCTATAATTCTATGATTAAACTTGATAAGATCTGCATCTACAGTCTCACCCAAAATTCATATATGGAAAACCCAGGGAGGTGATTTTTATCTTGCATTCTCCTGTGAAGGACTGGAGTACAGGAAGATGCTGAAAAATAACATTTTCAAAAATTGGTCTTTTCTGATAAGTAAAGCTCTGCTATACTTTTGAAGTGTGTCATCAGATGATGCCAAAATATAAGCATATACAACATGAAAGAAAGAGTAGCAGCAGATTTAAAATGCCCTGCATTGCTTCCCCAATGCCATGTCTTTTATGCAGTTGACATATACTAGGGCAGGAAATCATGTGGCCCTACAGATGTTGCTGGACTCCTATTCTCATCAGCCACAGCCAGCACAGCCAATGGAAGACCACAAGTTCTCCGCCACTGACTTAGGCAATAAGCTCAGGAATTTAATACTTGCAAAACGTCCCGGGGCCATTCTGAGCATCTTTAATCATCACTCTGCCCTTCGGGAGTGTACTTGGACCAGACACTTTTGTAGTCTCCCATGATCCTGAAAGCCAATTTAAATTTACCAGAGTGGTGTATACCATTGACAATGTTTCTACTTCATACTACACACAGAGATAACCTACTTTGCAGACTGCCGCTAATTGATGAGTCTGATCCCTGCGTGGTCTTCCAAATCTCTTTGTTACTATAGTTTCCAGCATTTAGCAAGCCATTATCGGGCTCTGAAGTATCTGGAGATAACAGTGACTGGGACAACTTGGGTAGGAACAGGATAACATCTCTCTGTCAGGATAAAAGAAACCCTACAATACAAAGAACCAACCCATTATCCCCTGAGGGGATATTATTCTCTTGCAGTGGCTACTCTTTAGAATCGCCATTAGAACAAATTTCTCTTCCCATTTTGCTTTTGTTGCAAAAAAAAAGGGGGGGAGAAACCTAAGATGTTGCCTAGCAACCCTTCTTCACCAGAGCATTGCAGAGATCCCAACATAACATGATATGAAAAGTTTAGGAAGGTCCTTTTTCTTTCTCACTCCTCCCCTCCCCTGAGATTATAGTGTTTGGTGCAGGCAGCTCAGGGAAGAAATATATGAACACAAAGGTCTGTTTTAGTGCTTCTGGTGGGGCCCTGATTCAGGTTGAGTCACTCTGTGCTCAACTTAATCCAGGCCCTGAACCAATTTGGGGGTCATGCATAGCCCTAGGGTTGGCTGGCAAGCAAAGGGAAAGAAAGTAACTGTAGGTAGAGGTATCCAGCCAGTAATGATATTTGATCCAGAGACCATCTTGGCTATGAGTTCTGTAATATCTGCTTCCTGCCTTGCAGGCCTTTTCTATGGCTGCCATATTTTACTGGAATTTCAAAGGCAGAAGTGACGCCTGAGAGGAAGGTGGTGGTTTGTCCTGGATCTTTGGCAAGTAAACTTTCATATTTTCCTTTTAAAAGCTCAACAACTTTGGGGGTATCCGGATTTTACTTCTTAAAATATGGCAACTCTAGTTTCCACCTAGCCTGAGAGGGCAAGGGCCTGACTGATTCAGCTACAAAAAACTGAGGCTGCTGAACAGAGCTTTGGGTTGGGGTATTGTTCAAGGTTTCTGTTGTGGGGGTTGTTGCTATTGTTGATATTATTATTTTTTGTATATTTACTTTATATCTTACTATGATTTATGTGGAAATTGTTTAGTATGGTTGTGTACTTTCTGATGTTTTATAACTAGTTTTATATTTGTAATTGCATACTTTTTTCATATTGTATGCTGCCTTGAGCCTGGTTTGAACTATGGAACTATGGAAAAGTGGCATACAAATAAAATTATGTATGCATGTATGAATTTCTAGTGTTATGAGAGACGGTGAAAAACTCTCTTCTATCCACTTTCTCCATGCTATTCATAACTTCTGCCATCTCACCACTTGCTTACCTTTTCTCTAAACTAAAAAGTTCCAAACTCTGTGACTGTTCTTCACAGTGTCAGTATATGGAAACATCACCGCTGCAGACAGCCAGATTGTTGACATCACATGATGCGCCTATCTGTGGGAAAGAAGAATTTCCCAGGACGTTCACAGGCTGGATAAGTCTTTGTGAAGAGTGTAACTTGAAACCTTCTGTTTGCGCATGCTCAGGAAGTTTGTCAGACCTGCTAGAAGAACTGAACTGAAAGGACGTGTTTTTCTCTAGTGCTGTAATGTCAGAAATAAACATCATGTAAATAGATTTCTGACTTATTTTCTTTCCCCTGCGGAAGCAGGAGGGAGGGGTTGTACATTTTACCCACTCTTGGGAAAATGTCGCCTATCAAAATCTCCCTGGTCTGTCTGGATATCAGCCAGAGGAGGTTACCAGTAAGCAAGCTCCAAGGACAGTGAGAGGGGCCAGCCTCTATGGAGGGGGCTTGCAATCCAACACACAGGAGAGTCATTCCATCCCCTCGATCATTTTAATTGCCCTTTTCTGAACATCTTTCTTCTCCGCACAGTGCTGGATTTATGTATAAGCTAAGTAGGCTGAAGCCTAGGGCCTCGAAATCTAGGGGGCCTCACCAGCTCTCCTGCTCCCCAGCGAGCAGTCTACCCTCTCCCAAAATTGTAAACCTAAGACTTCATGCAAGGGCAGGACAACTAGGGTCTCTAAGTCTAGGGGGCCTCACCAGCCTGTCCGCTCCCCAGTGCCACAGTCTCCCCTCTCCCAAAACTGTAAACCCAAGACTCCATGCAAGGGCAGGGCATTTTGTGAATTACCTAAGAGCCACCAATAGGGACATCTACCACTTTCCCATGGTGACAGTGATCTTCCTTCATCAAGGACCATCTTGCCCCACAATGGATCTGAGGAAGGGCACTTCCTTTTAATTCAGCGAAAAGAGCACAATAGTATTCTGCCTTTCCTTTATTGTGCTCTTCCATTTAGCCCAGTCTTTTTATGTTTGTGTTCCATTTACAAAAAAAAGCTTTCGACTCTGGGTTTGTGATTACTATGGATCTTCCAGCTTGCAAAGTCTTCCTTCCAGGATTGTGGTTTTGCCTTTCTGAGGACAAGGGAGGTTGGTTAGCTCAGATTGTTTGAAAAGGCTGCTCTCATGAGGCTGATCTCCTTGATTGCTTTGCAACTATGTCCTGAAGACTTATCCAAACCGCAGCAAAACGAACAGCCATTTCAGAATGTTGCTAGTCCAGTTAATTACACCTTGAAAAGCCATTTTGAAGCTGCAATCGATCACAATTCGCCTGGATGCTCTTGCAACCTTTGGAATGGCAGGAGAGAAAGGCAGAAGCAAACAACTCGCTTCTCCAGGCTAATTGAGGTGGGGAGAAGAACAGGACACAAGAAATTATTTGTTCCTCTTGTGTATTCTTAGACTTGGGGTGAGGCAGCAGTAGTGCTTCTGAATACCAGTTGCTGGAAACCACAGGAGGGGAGTGTGCTCTTGTACCTGAGTCCTGCTTGTGGGTTTCCTACAGGCATCATGTTGCCTACTGTGATAACAGGATGCTAGACTAGATCGGCCATTGACCTAATCCAGCAGGCTCCTCTCATGTTCTCATGAGATAGTCCTTCTCTACCTCATCATTCCTGATGAAATGACTGAGCTAAGGCTGCCATATGTCCAGCTTTTCCAGACATTACTGGGATTTCAAAGGTGGACTTGACGTCTGGGGCGAAATTTCCGAAAGGCTTAGCAACTTTTAGGGTGTCCTGTCCTGGTTTCTACTCTTTGAAATATGGTAACCCTAACTGGGCACTCAAGCCAGTCCTGTCTGTTTGGGTGGATCCCACAGTGTCAATCTCCCCACCCTGAATGAAAGGAGCAGCTAAGTCTTAAAGAAGGTGGGCAGTTTGTAAATGCAATCTTCCCGGTAATATGGAAGATCAGACTTCCAGCATCTGATGAAAGGTAAGTAAATACATGCAAAGAGGCAAACGTTTTGTCCATGCATCTGCTGCACTAATATAAAGTTGTATTTAATGAGTGCACTGGTTGCTTTCTCACTATGCGTGCAAGTTGACAGTATCTGCTATATAGGTACGTAATGGCCAGAACTAGGCATGTGCACAGAAAATAAAAAATCATATAATGTGGCGCTGGGCACAGAATTCAGCTGCTTGACATTCTCAGCTTTCACTGATTAAAAAATGTAAGCTTCTAATCATTATAGCTTGGGCACGAGCAACCCATGAATTTCTGAATTCTGGATTTCCAGAATGGCTGAATTTTGAGTGAAGGACATGCTTCCAATGCCCTTCATAGAATAATAGAGAGTTGGAAGGGACCCCATGGATCATCTAATCCAAGTCCCTGAAATGCAGGAATATGTACTCATATGGGGATTAAAACCGTAACCACGCTGTAACCAACTGTTTCCCCTTCCTATGATGAGCAAACCCAGAATAATTTGTGCAAAATAAGTAATGCAGAATTCTGCAAGACATTGAGATGCCTGGCTAATATCCCCAAATTGCATCATTTATACAGATTGCAGAATTCTTAGTACAGGATTTGTATTACCAGGACGCAGAAGCTGGTCTTGTTAATAATGACAATATGCCACCTATTTAGCTAGCAGAATATGTTGCCAAGAGCACCATTGAGGCATGTTGCAATTGCCATCCACATTTGGCCCCTTGATTGGAAGCCCTGAGGCAATGAAACTAGTTACGCAAAATGCAGAGAATTGCTTCCCAGCAGGTCTGTGACTGCCCGATAAATGATTGACTGACTGACTGACTGACTGACTTATTTCATCCTGTGCTCATCTCTGCCTGTGGGGAGGAGGCAGCCTGCACGGAGATGCATCACCATTCCCAGAGCTGAGGCACAATTCAGTGTGGGGAGCAATACTGCAAATATCACCAATCTATTGTG